GTCCATTGTGATCGGTGTTGAAAAAATATTCTGTGACACGAAAAACAGGTTGGACAGCTATTTATTTTTTGAGAAAAAAAAACGTTTTGGTGAGCATTCTGTTTAATTTAGTTGTTTTCTGATTTTTGGTTAAACTGAATGGCATGTTAGAGCTCTTTTACATTGGCTTTGATATCTCTGATACGCAATGGTGTGTTTACGTTGTTTTGTAACTGCACCGTCATCATGATGCAGCATATTTTACTGTAAATGGTCATTTGTAATGTTTAGTGTAGATAAGACTCAAAACACGCGTTTGAGCCTTATATTAGCAGGTGATGGCAGACCTTGGACTGAAGGAGGGGGACAGGGTGCTGCTGATATGGACTCAGCCATCATCTCCCACTGCACTGAAGGAGTTTGCTGAAAGCATTGGCATTGCTGTTGGTAACCAGAGTCTGGTGTCTTTGGAGAACATGGAGAGACTACAATTGTGTAAGTACAGAGGTATATTAGTTTCATACTTTCAAGTCTTGGTCTGAGTTAAAGAATTGGAAGGAGTCATTCACCCCAAAAAATCTGTCTGTGTTAGCTTTTCATGCAGCTTCTAGTTATGACTGGGTTCTCTCAGGCCTGCTGACCGACAGCTCACCAATCCACAGTTCAGAAATGCAGGCTGAGATCGCCAGAGTGATGAAACCTGGTGGCAAACTTGTGCTAGAAGAGCCGGTGACAGGTATCTGAATCAGAACGGCGCAGGCTCTGCAACATTCTCAAGTGAAATGAATCCGTGCTAATGGTTCCCATTATAACATTTTTCTTAGGTTCTGAGGATAATAGTGTGAGAACCGCGGGGAAACTGATGTCAGCTCTTAAACTGTCTGGATTAGTATCTGTTACTGAGGTCAGTCAGTATTCAGTGATTTTTATTTATTTATTTTTAAAGTTGATTCAGTGTAGGACTGGGTGATATTGTTAAAATATCTTTTTTTTTTTTAGCCATTTGAAATATTTATGTTTATTATTATAACAAAATTTTATAA